ATTTACAATTATTAATGCAATCAATGAAAAATACCTAAGTTCAAGAAAAGAATAGATTGATTTATGTAATTATTAATCATATAATGAATTTTTTTTAATTAATCGATTTTTTGGAAACAAATAATGTTCAACGACCAGTTACTATTCGAACAAATACATTAAAAACATGTCGTCATGATCTTGCTTAAGCACCTGTCAATCGACATGTTAATGTTGATCCACTTGATAAATGGAGTAAAGTTTGTTTTGTTATTTATAATAGTCAAGTACCTATCGATGCAACAACTAAATATCTTTGTGGACATTATATGTTACAAGGTACTTCAAGTTTTTTTTTTACCTGTTATGGCATTAGCACCTCAGCTGAATGAAAAAAATTTAGATATGTGTACAGCTTCTGGTGGAAAAGCGAATCGATTTTTTATTTTTATTAAAAAGGATTTTTCTTTTTCGAAGAATTAAATTTTATGTGCATTAATGCGAAATAGTGGGATATTAGTAGCAAGTGATACTAATAAAGATTGTACAAAAGCAATTATTGCTAATATATATCGATTAGATTTAACAAATACGGTTGTAACAAATCTTGATGGACAACATTTTTTTAAGGCAAATGGTTTTATAGAAGAATAATAATTACAAAAATATGGCATTGTTGAGCGAGGCATATTCAAAGAAGACGCTTGTTGGAGAAAAGGAAATGTGAGTAGGCTATTTTATAGCTTGAATATCACATTATTGAAACATATGGTTCACTAGTATGTACATCTTTTCGTTTCTATACTTCTGTTATTGACATTCTATAACAGACACTTTTTCTTTTCTATGTACAGTGACACAAAACCACTACTCTTGTAGACTAGGAAAGATTTAAATAGAAAACCAATATACCATAAAATAGAGAACTTTTTTTTTATATAAAAATGCTTGCCTTTTCTTATTTCTATATTAGAGAAAGAAAGGATCAAAGTACTCAAAAAGTAGGATATTCACTTACTTTGTACAGTGACATTTTAAAACTTGTTTGATCTATAACTCCTGAATAGTTGCTCGAATTTCATTCAAACTTTCAGATTAAATAGACCTCAAAAAGTTACATTAGTAATAACAATTTCAATCCTCTAGCATTTACTGTTTTGAATATATTCAAATTATACCACAAACTGTATAGTGGCATTTTTTCTGCAGATATTTGCAGTTAAATCAACTGAGGAAATATTCTTTTCAAGTGTAATTTAACTAAGAAGAATCCGATGAACAAATCTAAATGTGTTGTGAGTTATTCTTGACTACTTACGTTCCATACAGAACTGCAAGAATGACTTGAACCTTGTCATCGCATAAAATTAATTTAATTATTGTATTAAACACAAATTGAATTTTACACTATGTATCTTGCTTAATATTCAGCAAAATATTGGGAAAATTTTGCTGTATAACATAAACACAAACTATAATCGAATGTACTTATATTCGGAAGTTATTTCTTTGACCATTGTTACAAATGAAAGCTAGAATCAATTCGAGTAAACCAAATCGAAAACAATTTTATTTATCAAATATGTTCTGAATGCTTTTTCTTTTTGTAATTGACATGCTTGTTAATTTTATAGTACAAATCTTATTTAATTATTTGTATTTGTTTACAATTCATCAAGGTCAATAATGTTTTTTATATCATAGTATGTCATCACTTATAGTTTACTTTCACTAATGAGAAAAAAAAATGAAGCAATAATACATTAACCAGCTGTTAATTAAATATCAATATTTTTACATTATGTATGCATTCTATATTTCCATAACGATATTATATGTGCTTGTCAAAGGATAGCATTATAGACTATGCAAACTAATATATGTGAATGCTTTGTATATTTTTTTTCATTGAAAGTTTAGTATTTAACTTTTTTTTTTCTTCTCGTTTAGCATATGGATGGTTTTGATGGATGTCTTGTTGATGCATCATGTAGTGGTATAGGCGTTATAGCAAAAGATCCAGCAGTAAAATATTCTAAAGTAAGATATGGATTATATTTATATATGCAAATTAAATGATTACAAATTAGAATGAAAAAGATATTCAACGATGTTTTTTACAGCTCAACGTCAACTTTTACTAAATGCTATTCATTCAATAAATGAAAATTCAATAACGGATGGATATATTGTTTATTTGACGTGTTCAATTTTTAGTAAGATAAATATAACAACAAAAAAAACAAGTTTTTATATATATTAAAATAGGTTGAAGAAAATGATTCCTTAATGTCAATTGATGAAGAATAATTCTTAGTTGTTTTCTTTTTTTGTTATTGTTTTTTTTACTATTGTTAATTTTTCAATACAATCTGTTTTACTTTTTTCAGATAAAAACAAAATGGATGTCTTTGGTTTGGTAACACGTCTACCGACACTTGTCTTCGGTTCAACACGTTGTGATGATAGTTTTGCTGATCGAGTTTCATACAAATATACAGTTTTTATGCTTGTTCTTTTTGCTATTGTTGTTACAAATAAGCAATTTGGTACTAAGCATATACAATGTAAGTAAGAAGAGTCTAAAGAGAAATTTTGTTTACTAAAATTTTTTAATTATTATAGGTTGGGTTCCAGCACAATTTACGAAAAATTATGAAGTAAATAATGATGACTATAAGTATAATATGCATATATGATTGAGGAAAATTTCTGAAGTTCTTTAAAATTCGGTGAATAAGAGAACATAATGATAGTAGAAAACCATAGAATGGAAACATAAAAACGATTTGAGTTAGGGAAGTAACGCAGAATCGTTAAATGACTGTCGAATGCTGGTTAATGACACCTTTTTTTTGTGTACTATAATAACTTTTCTTTGAATAAAAACTTGCCAAAGGAATGTACAGAACTCTATATATATGAGACTAAGCATTTTATAAATGATCGCTTGTATGATCCTTCTAGATTGAGATTGAAGATGTCTTATATCTTCTTGTGTAAAATAAATGGAACACTTAGTTTTTTTTCTGATTACTGCTTTACATTATTGCTGTTTCGATTCATAATTACATTATTGATATGCAGCTCGCTATTCAATCTATTCTAAAAGTTGCAGTCATGAATAATGAAAACTCATTGAGAAAATTGCAACTTTGTCACAAATGTATTCTTTATGTGGCATAGAATTTTATCGAGCTCTTACTCTGTTTAATATATGTTCGACTAAAAACTAACAGCATAAGCTATAAAGTCCTATTGATTTTGCAAAATTTCATGTTAACAAACACAAAGCATGAAAGCATCACAGTACGTGAGACACAGTTACAATTTTCTCTAGGATTTATCGTTATTTATGACTGAAATTTTCATTCTAGACTAAGTAACATGCCATGTGTCGATAGTATCAATATAAGTCGAAATAGTAGTAGTGGGAAGATGAAATTGAAAAAGCTTGGTTTTTCATTTATATTGCATAGGAGGTTATAGAATAAGAAACATATTCTAAAGAGATTATTTTCTTTAGCTCCATATGCAAAAAACATTAAGCTGCTCAATAAAGAGGATATTCAAACATTCAATTGATCGATTATACAGACCAATCTTTGATGATATTCTAAATCTTACAATTGTTTGCATATTTGATTCGAAAGAAAATGAATCTGATACATATACAAATTATATTAAATTGGCATAATACGTTTTAATTCGTACATTTTTTATTATTATTATGATATATTCTTTTCTTATTTCTTTAAAAGCTAACGAGGAAACCGCCCAACGTGATTTATATTACTTTTGGTCCCATACTTTGCCTGTAGGTAGAAGAGTTGTAGACTAGAAAAGATCTATGAGAGTGTGGCCCTACATTTCGTTTTGACTCAGATATGAAAGTTTTATTGAAAATTTTTTTGCCAGATCCTGATTTTCTAACAAAATCATGTTTTCAAATTTTGACCTGAAACTTTGCTCATATCAAGCACTCAGCTAGACTAGCTTATATATAAAATTTCAAAATTTTTAGACATAGCATCGCTGAAATATGAATTTTTCAGAATATAGGAGCTTCTCTATACGTACTGTATAAGGCATGAATATTTTGAAAAATTCATATTTCAGCGACGCTACGTCTAAAACTTTTGAAATTTTATATACGAGCTAATCTAGCTGAGTGCTTGATATGAACAGAGTTTCAGATCAAAATTTGAAAATATGATTTTGTTAGAAGATCAGGACCCGGCAGAAAAAATTTTATTAAAACTTCCATATCTGAGCTTAATCACAGCATAGGTCCATATTCTCTTAGACTTTTTCTAGTCTGCAGCTCTTCTACTTACTGGCAAAGCATAGGATCAAAACCGATAAATTACATTAGGCGATTTCTTATATAATGTTATTTGTAAAATTAAAACAAAATATATGATTTTTTTAAGGAATATGTCAATGATATATGTTGGGTATCAAATACATATTACGCTCCTCTTGGACAAAAAGTACCCAAACTCGAACGTGAAAGACGTCAAAATGAATTACGTTATTATCAATGGATACCATTTATCTTAATTCTTCAAGCATTTTGTTTTTATTTTCCACATATTATTTGGCGTTCATTATCACGTCGTAGTGGTATTGATGTACGTGATATAGTTGATGCAGCTATTCATTATAAATCAGTTGATATAGCAATAAAAGATGATCTACATAAAAATGACTTAATGGAATATATTGTTGAAACTATAGATAAATATGTTGATGATCCACGACGACGAGCTGATGAACGTGGTAAACGTATTAATTTAAAATATATAATGATGACAATATGTATTTGTATGGGAAAATATTTGGGTAATTATTTAATTATTGTTTATTTTACAACAAAAGCATTGTTTATAACAAATGCTGTATGTCAAATATTTTTATTAAATTTATTTTTGGGACAAGAATTTCATTTATTTGGAATACAAGTACTTCAAAGAATTCTTCAAGGACGAGGTAAAATAATATGAAAAACGTTCTGTTTATTTATTTGTTAATTAGGTTGGGATACACAATCAAGATATTTTCCAAAAGTAACATTATGTGATTTTCAAATACGAGAAGCTCTTCATCCAAGTGATGCACATCGTTATACTGTACAATGTGTTCTACCATTAAATTTATTTTCTCAACAAGTAAATATTATTGAAAATAGATTTCTTGTTTGTTTTTTTTATTTTATTAAAAAATAATAATTATTTAGATTTTTACTTTTATTTGGTTTTGGTATATGATGGTTTTTATAGTTGTATGTAATGAATTTCATATATTGAAGTATGTTTTTTTTTGTTGTTGTTGTTTGTGTAGTCGATATTTGATGTTATTGTTTGGGTAATACGTTTTCTTCCTAAAAAACAATATAATTATATAAAACGACGTTTACAATTAATGAGATGTGACAATGATTTTAATAGTCAATCACCTGAATATATGAAAAGATGGTATATAGAATTTATACATGGTTATCTTGAATCAGATGGTATATTTTTGCTTCGTTTATTATCATCGAATACAAGTGATTTTGTTTGTACTGAAGTAAATTAATAGGAGTTTTGTTTTGTTTTTTTTAAAGAAAAACTAATAAAAATTTATTTTTAGGTTATTAATCAATTATGGCAAGCATTTTATGCTAAAAATTCAAAAAAATTAAAACGTAAGCATAAACGTGAATTAGGTGATGAACGAATTACATCTGAAAAAAAACATCAAATATCAGATCCTGTAGATTTATCGGAAAGTTCTGATTCAACACGACGTCGAAATATAAATTTTCCGTCGATTCCAATTCGAATATCATCAATAGATAAAGTAGATAATCATTATGAATCATTAAGAACAGGCAAACGATCTTCTTTTATGCCTTCAGTCGAAGATGATGTATAAAATGATAAATCATGTGCATTTGTTAATAGTCAAATTATTATTAATCTAAGTCAATTTTATTTTTGATGTGTAATGTTAGTCAACGTTTTTTTTTTAATTTACAGTGATTGTGATTTTATTTGACATTTTGTTTTATAGAGAAGTTTTTTATCTTAATAAATTTTTGAATGAAAATAAACTTTTTTTTAATGTTGGAATGAGGAAAAAGATGGTGAAGGTATTAAAATTCAATTGATAGTCAAAACAAAGTTATATAAAGTGATACGATACGTAACGTTTTTGAAGGAGAAAAAAATCGACATAATTTTGATTTTTATCAAACATCTACAATACGATGTTTGCGTACATTTTGATGATATATGATGATTCTATAAATTTGGCATTGCTGTCAGAATATTTTAATGGCATGTACAACCGATGGAGTCCTACGTCACAGTCTTCTTTTGTCATGCTCTATGCTCAATTAGAATACTACCATTGTAAGGTAGAGAATGCCTATGGGATGGACTATTATTAAAGTATTTGAAGTAATATCTCCATATAGTGCAAGTTTTTTCCCATATCGCTAAGCTTGAGTAAGACAAGAAGATGTCGAAAATAACTGATTAAGATAATGGATCAGAAAATCGATTAATAGTTTCGATGAATGAACTTATCATAGAAAAGAAGGAATCCTTGTGTAAAGAACATAAGTCTATGAAAATATCTATGCACAAAACAAATAATTTAATCAATGAGCAAAATAGAAGATTGAGTGCTTAGTGTTTACTTACAATTCTTTATAAATTTTTATTAAAGCTGAAAAATATCAATGTCAAAACTTAGAAATGTGTAACGAGAAACATTTGTTTTTCTTTGGAATAGCAAATAGAAATTCTTTAGTTTGGTTATTTTGATCAAGATTTCGATAGAACTCTTATTTTTCTTTTCATTAAATTAATTATAATTAATTTTTAGATATCTTATTCAAACAAAAACATGTCATCAACTGAATATATTCGAAAGAAAAATCGTTTAAAAAAACAATGGTCATATATAAATGCTGCACTTAAAATTGTTCAATTAAATCAACAATCTGAAAAACGAAAATATCTTTTAGAAGCAATTATGAAATCTGATTGTCAAACATTTGATAAATTATTAGATGATGATCCAATATTAGTTGATTGTCCTATACCAATTGGTTATAATCATTTTAATATTTATCAAATTATAGTCGAACGATCGACGGATATATTTATTGATAATGTATTTAATAAATATTTACATATGATTGATAATTCAACTGAAGGTGGAAAAATTCTTGTACCAGTAGCATGTGAAAGAGGTTAGATATTATTATAAACAATCAAATAAATCATAATTCAATGTTGCTTGTAGTTGATTTTTGGGAGAAAATTATATTTTTAATTTAATTTAAATTAGAATAGATATTTAAAAAAAAAGGCAAAAGAATAGAATCATTCGAAAAGAAAAATAAAAACGTTCTTCGATACTTTAGCCATATAAACAGTAAATTCCTAGTTAACCTTACGAAGGAAGTACCTCGAACTGATTAATCATGTGTCAGTTAGGTCTATGCGCATTATGTAGAGTCTAACAAGCGATGAATACCATGAAAACAGTTCAAGTATTTAGCTTATTGTTGCAACGATTTTGAATTTTTACAGTAGTTTTTTAAGTCAACTCCTGAAGGAACACTAGGAAACCTAATTTTCGAATTTTGACGTGAAACTTTTCGGAGAGACAGTATTTAATGAGAATAGTTAATTGTGCAAGTTTCAGATAACATTGAATCTGTTGATATATACGATCGATGTAAAAGAGATACTTTTATCATAATTAAAGAAAAAAATCTCGAACTTTTCCAATAAGCTATTCTCATTAAAGCCTATCTCTCGGCAAAGTTTCAAGTTGCAATTTGGAAAATTATTTTTCTCTGTGTTTCTTACAAAAATCACAGCATTGAGTTAAACACTACCGTAAAAATTCCGAATCCCTACAATCACAAGGTAAGGATCCGGACTCCTTTCAGAATATTCATAGCTCATTAGAGTCTACATGCTTCACATAGTTCTGACATAAAAGCAATTAATAATCAGTTCGAGGAATTTCTTTCGTTAGTTTCAATATAGATATATATATATATATTGATTTCATATAAAACTTTCGTTAAGGTGATGGTAATATTCTGAAATTAATTTTAAAATATTTTTCATATGCATCACTTGATAGTATTAGTAGTTCAAATCAATCACATAATTATTTATTACATGATGAACCACGTCATTTAATTCAACGTGAATTAGAAGCATATGAAAATGAAATACCATTAGCATGTATTATTCGCAATGATCGTTCTGATCTTCTATCAATATTATTTCAATTTAAATCTTTTACATTTGATTATTTAAGTCAACAACAAAAACAACAAGTTTTTAATCTTTGTTTATTAGCTGAACATCGTCAAGTTAGTATTGATAAATATAATATAAAATGGTTTAAAAATCAATCATTACGTCCATGTGGTTCAATTGAATGTTTTCGTTTACTTATTGAATATGCTAATTTTAATCCATTTCATATTTTTCATGATAATATATCATTTATATCTCCATTTACACTTATTCTTGAACCAATTTATCTTTATTTAATACAATTACATAATAAATTATTAATTGATTTACAAATTAAATTTCATACACGTTTATTACGAGCATTATATGATTTAATTAATAAACAAATGCAATTATTTACTTATCTCATAACACATTGTTGTTTTGAACCAACAGAAATTGATCTTATTCGTTTAAATGAATGTAATCATTATATTGATGAAATATTTCATCAAAGTAATGAATATCAATTAGTACAACGTACAATGTTTAATATAAATAATTTTTTATTAAAAATTAATAAGAAAAATAATGATAAATGTTTATCATTAAAACAAATATGTCGATTTCGTTTTCGTGATTATATACGAAATAAACAATGTGTACTTATACAAATTGAAAAAACATTTATTAATTTAAGTTCTAGTCATAAAAAATATTTAAAATGTCTCATATGAAAATTTTTCTTTTCAAATTATTTTTGTTATTATTTTGCTTTTTGAAAATAAAACTATTTTGTTAGATTATTGTTTATGAAGAATATATCGATGTTTAACAACAACAAAGAAAATCTAGGAAGCTATTTTATCAAAATAGTTTTTCTAGCATGTTTTTACTTTTTATTTCTATATATATGAACTTCTAAGCTTTGCTTCAAAAGCATTTTTCTGCTCTTGTTGATATTCAAGGCAGTCTGTACTTGAATAATATAAAATGTAATTAACGCAAGTATGTATACGGCATGTGAAAAACAATGTCTGTTATTTTTGATTTATATTCTTCTGTTTTCACGAAAAGTTAATTGTAGGATTGTTTTCATTACTGAATAAACATAAAATATCTCTTATGGATAATAATCACATTGATCAAGAATCTGATTTGCAAAGAGATGAACAAATTGCAAGTTCAATAATGAAAACTCAATACAAACAGCTGATCTTGAAGGACATGCCAAAAAACCAAAAACCTAATTTTTTTTTTCTATTTGATCGTATGAAATAATAGAAGTTTATGAATGGATTCTTTTGTTCTGTGACAAAGATTTCTATTATGGAGTATCAATTAATCGTATTTTTGTATGATTTAGTACATTTTATACTAAAGATACTTGTTTTATGAAATGTTCTTTAGTAATAGAATATAGACCGTTGTTATTAACTGCACTAGCATTAAAAAATTAACTAAACGTTTAGGAATAACGTAACCAGCATAAAAAGACTCGTAAAAATTATATTGTTGAAGGTAGCAAAAAATATGACTTTTTTAAAGGGATAATCATAGAAGACCTTTCCTTCTAATTTGTGAACGATAAGACAGAATAGAAGGTTCCGGGTCTTCTAATCTATCGATAGCTTTAGTGCATTGTTTCATAATCATTTTTCTCTCGTACTTCCTATTATTTATGTCATTTAAATTCTTTTCTATCTGACTGAGAATGTAGCATGATGGTTTATATAATCTCTTTGATTAGTGAATTGAAAAGAAATACTTGAAATAATCATGTGAATTCAATCTACATAATCAGTACAACAAAATGACTATAACATGATTACTTTGTATAAGATGATTACAATCTATACTGCAAAATTATATTCTATTAATAGAAACAACTCAAAGATATTATGGAATTTTATTGATTAATCGTTTTATTTGATTAGTGTAGAATTTTTTCGTGTTCATGGACGCACATCACTGATTCAGGAAAATTAGCAACAAATCATATAGCGATTATAAAACAACGTTGATACTCACATTTCATTAGCTACAACTGAAAAAAAAATATTTCTATGAGTTGTCATTAAACTTGATCCACTTATCAATTCAATTCAAGCAGCTATCAATGTTGATTATTTCTGCTTGATAATAAGTCATAGATTAGTAATAATTCAATAAATCCATACAATCTTATTAATGATGATCCAATTCCACGAAATCTTCTATTTTGTATTCAAAAGTGTTTCAAAATCAATATTTAATCCAGATGACTTTGAAATCGCTACTAGTTGTCTTTGAAGTTAGATTAATAATTAATGTCAAATATGTGATTCATTTTCAAAGCTTTGAATTATTTTTAAAGTTCCATCAATTAGGCAAAGTGCAAAGAGTTGAAAAAAAAACGTGACATCTTACCGATGCAGCTTTTGCTATAAAAACAGAATATAGATATTCTTATGATGAAATCAACTATATTTACTATTGACACTCGAATTGGAACAAAAAGAAAGATTTTTTGATTATTTGTAATATAAATCTTCTCTTAAAATAGTACAAATCGATTAATATTTTTATTTCTAAAATAATAAAAATTCACATTATTCGAATTTCGATTGTACTTCCTTTCTCAAGCGATTCTACCAGATGTCGATCATGATAGTAAATCAATTCATATTACCAATAGTATCGCTTTTTTTTATGATGTATTTTATCCTCACTTTGGAAATAGAGATGTTCAAATAAACCATTGTACTATGAGAAATAAACCTGTTGATACTATAACCAAAATATAGGCTCAAGCTAATTTCATGTTAAAAATTCATATCTGATGAAAACAGCAAATAGATTAACTATCACACCATATATGTGAAGATTCATTTATGAATTATGTGTCAACACTTATTTTTTAAAGATAAGTATTTTGTACTCGTATAATTACATGGCTATTCATATTTCTATTTGTAATTTTAACGTTACTCATGGGAATTGGACTAAAAAAACATGTGACATTTACTAAATTCAATAATAATTACTTTGATATTCTACTGTTTTTTAAAATAAACTTCATAGAGTAACCAATTGTCAATTCAATAACATAGTAGTTATGTTAAAGGATCATATGTTTCATTCATAGATGGTACCAAAAACTTGTCTTTTCATTAACTTAATTTCTAATACATTCTTTGCAGTTAATCGAAGAGTTTAATCAAAAATACTTCTTAATTTTGTTCAAAAAACTTTTTCTAGTTTTTGTTACTATTTATGACGGCTTTTTTAAGAATTCTTTGTAATCTCATGAGTGCGAAATGAAGAAAATCTTAAGTTATCTGATTCTTTTTTATTCTCGCTCCAGTGGTCATTACTCTATTAATTATTTTTTTAAAATGATAGCATAAACATAAATACCTTATTAATAGATATACACAAAATCTTTTTGTTTTTAATTATCTGAAAATTAAATTCGTTTGTATTATTTTTGATAATACATTCCAATATTGTTTTTAAAGTATAATTCCATACATGATAGTTTATTTTAGTCAAACAAACGATATGTTGATTCATTTGATTTAAGTGCTGATCATATTTGTAAATTCTTCTGAATACAATATGAATAGTATAAGTACTTATGACATAACGATAATTGATGTTGACTCAAGAACTAATGATGTAGAAAGTATCATAAGTAATGTGAATGAATATATTTGAATGATATTCATTTTTATGAAGCTACATACATCATAGAAATTGCATTAAATATATCATGGATTGTAGTTTTTCGCATAATTTATTTTCTAAAAATATTCTTATTATTCAAATAAATCCTATTCGAAAATATTTTATTGTCGTTCACAAATATTCATACATTATGTATTATATTAAGATCAATCTTTTTCAACATAAGTGTATTACAATTTCAACTGTAGAAATATCCTACAATGATAAACTCATACGAATTATGTTTATAATCAATATGTGAATGAGATTTGCATCATGATAAAAAAAAATAAGTGTTTTTTTTCAGTTTGATACATCTGTTTTGTCAAAATCGTTCCAAAATGTGTCTACTTTTTCATCACATAAAATTCGTAAATTTTCATCAATTAATGTAATACAAGGCATTTTTGATTCACATGAATCAATCATTGAAGGATGTTTAACTAATTCTTGTTCTCTTTGCCATGCTTCTTGCCAATATGATAATTGTTCATTTTCTTTGATTTTTTTCCAATTTATTTTATTATAATTATTTAATTTTAAATCATTTTCCATCCATTGAAGAATTTTAATATGTTTTTCATGTAATTCTTCAGGATATTTTTGTAATTCGATTAAATCTGCTTTCTTAAGTAAGATTTTTGATGATTTATGAAACGTACAACCCATTATCGGATAATAACATATTATACAAAATAAAATATAAAGAATAACCCGCCTAACATTCATATAATAAAAGAAGTTTGTTAAGTAGAACTATTGTTCTTGAGTGACATCTGCGAACTTAATACCATATTTTTTTCCATAGAATAGTTTCCTCCGATGAATCAATGATTGATCTTTTTCTTCTTCTCTATATATAAATTTGTTTTTGCTGAAAGTTGAATAATTCTAATAATTTTTTTTCCTTCTTGAGAAAATCAATCGGCTTATTTTATCGTTCTTCTACATTTTTTTAATATTTTCTATTTCATAGATTTTTACATTGAAATTTCCTTTGTTTTTTTCTTTTATTTGATACAAATTTTGTTTTATAATGAGATAATATAAAAGATTTCTAAATGGCGGCCAGTAAGATAATATTATTAAGAAAAAAAAAAGAATGATTATACTAAAAAAATGATATGTTAAGGTGATTGGAGAATTAATGCCGATGAACGAACAAGATATGAATCTTTCTTTCAACAGTGTGGCCCGACACAAGGTTATCTTTCGGGTAGGATTTGTTTTTTTTTTTCTTTTTTGAAAAGAAAATTTTATAAATAATATGGAATGTTTTTTTTTTGTGTCTTATAAGGCGAACAAGCAAGAGACTTTTTTGTTAAATCAAATTTACCTGGAGATATTCTTCGAAAAATTTGGTATATATTTATTTTTATCATTTTTCTTGAAAAAATAATTGATTATTCTCTAGGGATTTGGCTGATATATCAGCTGATGGCCGTTTAGATACACGAGAATTTATTATTGCATGCCATTTAATAGCATCTCAAGTAAATCATTAGTTATAATATATTAAAATTTCTTTTTAAAATTGATTAAATTAGGTTCAAAAAAAAGGACCATTACCAACGATTCTTCCACCTAGTCTTCTTTCAGATTCAGGAGCAACAACAAATGGTATACCATCTGTAACTACATCATCATTATTAACTAATAGTAAGTGATTTTAATCAAATTTATTTCTTATTACCTATCGAATACGAAACAAAAAATCACATCATTGCAGTGAAATCATTTACATTAAAGAAATATTCAATTTTTGTATTGGTAAGGTTGAATACACAAATAGATTTAAAAAAACAACACTGCGAATATTAACCAAAAATAATGCTTTGATATAACTTCTTCATTATCTTTTTTTTTTTGTTCTATTTATTTCATAATTAAAAAAAAAATGTTTTTTTTTTCTAGCTGCTTCCACTCAACCTGTAATAACAGGTCAATCTACTGGGTAAATAAAAAAAAAATTTGACTTTGATTGTTGTTTTTTGTTTTAAATAAAATAAAATTTTTTTAGACCTAATTTAACAACAACTGATTCAAATAATCTTTCAATTGTACCAATAACACCAACAATTCGATCAAAATATCTTCAACAATTTCATTCAATTGTTGATGTAACAAAAACAAATGGATTAATGAATGGTTTACAAGCAAAAACTATTCTTCAACAAACTGGTTTATCATATATTCTACTTCATCAAATATGGTAATAATAATATTATTCCTTTGTTAATAGATTTTCAATGATTAGTCGAAAGAAAAAATATCGGAAATGATGTGGGTGTAGCTAAAGGATATCTTGTTAATTAAAATTGTCATCAATATTTTTCTATTCGGTCGTTCTCTATAGCACATCTTTTTTTTTTTTAATGACTCTTTGTTCTTGCCTAATGTCAGTTTAAATAAAATTAATATTAACAAAATCAGCAAATTTATCGAAGTGGAAAGATTAAAACCATGCATAAATTATTCAAGATACTTTTATATATCTGTTTATTTTTCTGATATGTTGCGCGTGTAAAATTTAAGAATTTTTGTTTTTTTTTTGTTCAAAAAAGAACCAAGGATTTTATCTATTGTTTGAACATTAGTTTGGATATAATTTTACATTCGACTATATGAGATACAATCATATTCAATATTATTATCTGTATAAAATCATAAGAAGAATAATTGATGCTATCTTCTTTCAAAATAATCGGAATATCTAAGATGAAATTACATAATTGAAAAGAAAGATAAAATCAAAATTGAATTATTAAGATGATAAGAGTATTCTTTGTTTTATTCAGAATAAATTCATTGAATTTCTGAAATAACAAAATAACAATTCAATATTGAATCATTTTATTCATTCATTTATTGAAATTATCTCGAACAATAATAGTTTTCTTATGAATTTCTATCGATACTTTTTATGTTCGGATAAATAGAAATTCTTCTTCTTTTTTTCTCAAAAAATTCAAAACAAAATAATTTTATTTGAATTTTTGAAATAGGGATTTAGCTGATTATGATAAAGATGGTTGTTTAACACCAGATGAATTTATTGTTGCAATGCATTGTTGTGACATAGCACGTACAGGTCAATCATTACCAATACGTTTTCCTGATGAATGGTTACATAAAAATATCATACAACAAGAACGAATCGATACATCATCAAAATCGAATGATAATCGAACATTTGCTAGTCTAAATCAACAACTTAAAGAAATATCAACTTCAACAAATACAACTGAAAATACTTCAACTGATCGTTCTAATGAAACAACAGAAGCTGAACGAAAACTTATTATGCAAACATATGAAGAAAAACGTTTGAGAAATTATGAAGTATATTGTGAAAAAAAAATTGTTTTTTTTTTATTTAAATTTTATAATAATATTTTAATTAGGATGGAAATCGAGAATTAGAACGACGTCGACAATTATTACGTGAACAAGAAGAACGTGAACAAAAAGAACGTGAAGAACGAGGTAAATCTATTTTCAAATCGATTCATATAGTTGAATGGTCATAGTCATTGTTAATTTATATAATCGTACAAGGTTAATAGTTCGAATCTTATTTAGAACGTAAACGTGAACTTGAATTACAAAAACAAAAAGAAGAACAAGAACGTAAAAAACAAATGGAAATTGAACGACAATTAGAAAAACAACGACAAATTGAACAACAAAAAGAAGAAGAACGAAAAAAATTATATGAACAGCGTGAGGTAAATAAAACAAAAAAAAAAGATTGAAGAAATCATTCGCATGGATCAGGAGATCACGTCTTAATATTCAATAAGACGAGTTTGAGTCATATCCATGCAAAAGAATCAATTCTATACTTCATTGTTCATGCGTTATGCATAAACAATTCGAAGTTCTATATGGCATATGATTAAAGTATACAATCATTTGTATACAAATATCAATTTCTAGTGCCAGACATAACCTTTTTGCTTTTTTTTCTAAAACACATGTCCTAAACGGAACGTTGAAGTATGAGGGTAAAACTTTAGACTCACTCCATAGACACTTTAGCAATGTCTCCCTCTCGGTGAACTTCGGCGGTTTCAAAAATTATCCAGAATCAAAAACTGTTAAATCATTGGATAGATACAAAAATTCTTCAACATAGATTTGAGAATTTTTGTATTTATCCAATGATTTAACGATTCCAGACCGTAGCAGATATTATTATTATTATACGATCAAAGACTCTATATCAATAACATCTCGTTTTCATAAATGAACTACTCGCTTTTTATTGCCTTTCTGTAAGATTAAACAAAAAAGATGGTGAAGAAATGTATCCCAAACTATATATAAAATAAAGTAATCTCTTGTGATTAACGACAGTAATTACATCGTATTTCATATTTTAATCACGTAAGAATTGTACTAACAGTTTTGTATGTAATATTTTAGGCAGCACGAAAAGAAATGGAACGTAAAAGTCATCTTGAATGGGAACGTCAACGTATGCAAGAATTATCAACACAAAAATCTCGTTTACATGAACAGATTAATGATTTAAAATCTCGTGAAAAAGCTTTTGAATTTGAATTAGAAAGTATAGATGATACAATCCAAACATGTCAAACAAAAATCAATCAAATAGAAACAAATATACATACTATTGATGAATCAATAGCTGATATACAACGAAATATAATGACAGAAAAAAATCTTTTTGATAATGCTGAACAACAAATAAAAGATTTAAAAGTACAATTGAATACTGTACAAGAAGAACGTGAATCACTTGATTCATCATTAAATCAACTTAATCAATCCATAGAATTTAGTAAGAAAAAAAAAAAAGAAATTAGATAATTAAGATAAATAAGAAAACAATATCATTTTCACTTAAAATTTTTCATTTACAAACATACTCTCTTATTAAATATAAGAATAGTTGTTAGTTAGTATTTTCTAATTTTACATTAATTTATTCGATATTTTAACTTTATCTTCATTGTAATTGAAATTTTTCTTTTTTGTAATATGAAAGTCACATATAAATTCTTCAATTAACATGATCTTGATAAATTACGTAGTTAGTTGAGCAATGAAATTAAATTTTTATAGATCATATAAAAAAAATGAAACATGAGTTAATTGAAGCATAAATGGACATTTCTACTTGATATCATTATGAAAAATTACAATGTGAAAAATGATGTTCAGTGTTTTGTAGAAAATTTAATAAAAAAACAAAACAAACTATTTGAAGGATTCATTTTTTTTCTGATAATTTTGATATAAAATACTGAACAATTTTTTTTTTCGTGTCGAATTTATTCTTAATATAATTATCGTATAAAAAGTTGATTTTTGATAGATAGTTTGCATCAAAATTACCGCTAGTGTCTATACTATATTCAAGGAAAACTTCATTTGTAAATGTTAAGTCATAGTGGAATTGGACACAAAACAATCTGAAGTAGTCAATTCTTGTTAGACAATCTTTTAAACTAAATTATTTTTGTTCCGGAATTGTTCTAACAAACCCGAACCCTTAATGTAAACTCTTTATCATTTTTCTTTTCCAATATCACATTCAAAAGAGTATAGAACATTGTATAAGATGGCAGATAGTGTGAAGTTTGACGAGAGATGTTTTCGAATTTTTGAAGAATCACTTTCTAAAAGATTTCGAATACGATATTTGGAAAGAAAAATGATAAAAAATTTACATGAACATTATGTGTTATTTATCGTAGAATAGGCAGATTATATTATAGACAATATGTTGGTAAAAAGTGTGATTTGCCAAAATGTCGCTCGTGTTATCCTCTTTCAATTTATATACGTTTGACTTTTTAGAACAACTCGAAAGAAAAAAAAAAATAACATAATTTGAATGAATGATAACCATTATTCAAGTTGAGATTATCTTTAAATTAAGTGAAACATATTACGAAAGACTTGAATTTTTTTTGTTTTATCTAAAAACAAAAAAGAGAAATTAGTGTATCTAACATTTTTCTTATTTTTAAAAGGCATGAGTAATCGAGAATCGGATCAATTTAAAAATTTACAAACTCAAACTGAAACTATGAAGCAAGAAAGTACACAAATAGACGAACAGATTGTAACAATAACCGATCAATGTAAAGAATATCAAAATCAAATGGAGGTTTGTTTTATTTTATACAAAATTATTTTAAAAAAATATCTTTTCTTTTTAGCAACTTCGTCTTGAACTTGATCAACTCGAACAAGAAGCTAAAGCTAAAATGCCATTAGAGTATGCATTACATATATTTTTCTAATACTAAATATACATAACCTTTTTTATCTTCTAGTACTGTCACATCGCCAGAAAATCCACCTGCTGAATTCGGTAAGTATCTTTATGTATATATAAATAAAGTATTATATTCATTATTTTTAGCTAATTTTGATCAATTTAATGCTAGTGTGTCTACTAATGATTTAAATAATCAATCATCTGATGTGTCTACTAATGATTTAAATAATCAACCATCTGATGTATCTTCTTCATTAGCTGCTATTCCAACTACTACATCTCCTATACCTGCTGTTGAAGTCGATCCATTTCAAACAGTTGATCCATTTGCTTCTCATGCTGATATAAGTTCAACAACAGAAAATAATGATTGGTTTCAACCATCAAGAGACAATCCTAGTTCACCAATAGTTGATCCATTTCTTCCGAAAACTGAACCAACAGAAAGTTTACCTTCAGTAGCATCACCAAGAATAAAGAAAGCAGCACCAAAAGCAAATCCTTATAATAAAAGTTTGATCTTATTTCGTTCTCTACCAAAAAAAACTTATCTTTTTTTTCTTATAGTTGCACCAAAAATACCATCTAATGTTGATCCATGGGGAGGACCAACAACTACGAAGAATAATGGAAATGATTGGGCACAATTCAATAATAATAATAATACAAGTTCACCATTTGGTACAACAACTGAATGGCCACAAACAACAACTGTTTCTAATGAAAATTCATCAACTGGTTAGTAAATTTACATAATAAAAGAAAAGAATATCATGAAAAATGTTTTTCTTTAGATGCAGTTCAATATCGTGCATTATATGACTATACACCTGAACGTCCTGATGAAATTGCTATATCAAGTGGTGATATAATAATAGTAAGTTAATCGATTTGATTTTCTTAGTAGACTAAAAACACCCAATGAACAATCATTTTTAGACTAAGTCAAACGAGGCAAGTTTTTCTCTTTATATAAAGAGGAAAAATCTAGCATGATAATCTTTCTTTTTTTGGGTTCTATCAGAGCATGTCTTTTTTTTCCTATGAATTTTTAAACAATGGGTTGCTTCTTTTCTTTTTTGGTGTATGTTTTTCTCAGGGAATCGCTTGATTGAAATAAAAGATTAAATTATTTTCGTTTTTTTGTTCAGATTGATCCAAGTAAACAACAAGATGAACATTGGCTATTTGGTCAAATTGGCAATGATAAACAAGGATTTTTTCCAGCAGTTTATGCTGAACGTATGACGTAAGTTTTGAAATTCGAGAAAATAAATATCATCATAGACTTAGTGAAAATAATATTCTGAACAATCATGAAAGCTTTAAAACATAAGTATAGTAATAACATAGAATTATAGTTAATCAGAGAATCTCTCCAGGTGTCAAATCGCTTTTCGATTGAGATGATGTTCATTCAAAGTGTAATACAAAAGTCTATAGAGTGATTTGATTTTTCGAACTTTTGTTTTTAAGTTATCGAAATTTTATTGGATTTTTCAACAAAAAAGATGTGACACATCGTTGCTTTTACACATGAGAGAATTTCGAATATTGAATATTTCAGGATAGGAGATACTAGAAAGACTTTTCTATTATTCATCAAATAAACATCGTCTCGGTCAACAAGCGATTTGACACCTGAAGAGCAGCAATGTGTCTCGAAACAACAAAAAATCTATATGATGTTGTTTTTTGTTTTTGAACTTAAATAAGAATCTTTGATGATAATATATATATTTCTTCTTCATATAGACCAGCACCATCAATTAATGCTGTTGATACAACATCACAATTATCGGTATGATAAATTGATTGATCATTGTTTCCTGTTTTTTTTTCATTGTATGATTTAATTTGTAGTCTGGATCATGGGTGATGACGTTAGCTGAATGTCAAGGCAAAACAGTTGATAAACATTTATCATTTCAAAAAGGTGAACTTATTCTTGTACGAGAACAAAAAGATGCAACATGGTATAGTGGTCAACTTCATGACAAAGTATATTTTGAATATTTTATTATTTATTTTGAAATAAAAACAAAATTTTATTTTAGATTGGTTGGTTTCCAAGAAATTATGTTCGACCAGCAACTGAAATTGAAATAGAAAATAATAAAAATTTAACAAAGTAAATTAATTTCATTTAACTGATGTTATATATAATCATACAAGATTTTACCTAACAGATATTTACAATTATATGTATATCGTGGATGAGTATAATCACATAGTAATTAATAGGATTGAAATAGGTTTTTTTTTTTTTAATTTTCGCAAGATATTTTCCTACTAACATTAGATATTATCCCGGAATATAATATACTTTATACATTGATATGAATAAATAATTAATTGAATGAATATTTTTCTATCTATTTAGAGATACATCCATAAATGAAAAATCTTTGAACTCATCAAATTCTAATGATAAAATATCAAATGATGTCAATAATGGTAAAATTTCATTCATTTTAATTCGATAAGAAAGAAAAACTGTTTGATTTTTAAATAAATACTCAATAGTTTGATGATAATTACTAAACTAAATAACAATTTCTACGAGTATCACATAACTTTCCACTATTGGTTTTTTTTTCAATATAAAGGATTTAATAATAATTTCTTTCTTTTTTTTCTATTGAACAAATTAAGCTGATATATATGAAGCTATTTATTCATATGAAGCAACTGATTCATCAGATTTATCATTTGATGTTGGTGAACGTATTATTGTATTAAAATGTGATGGTGATTGGTGGACAGGACAAATTGGTGATCGCACAGGATTATTTCCAAATAATTATGTTCAGAAAATTAATAATATACAAGAAACAGCTATTGCAATAACACCATTTCAAAGTACAGAAGAAGATCATTTATCATTTGAACAAGATCAAATTATTTATATAATAAAAAAAGATGATAAAGGATGGTATCAAGGAGAAATTCGAGTAAATAAAGAAGTTTCTAATTTTCATGTAAATATTTTTCTTTCTTTAAAGCTTCCTGATCAACCAGTACGTGTTGGTTGGTTTCCTGGTAATTGTGTTCAAATACAAGAAGCTGTTTCATCGACAGTTTCACATCAAAATATATCAAGTAAATATCAAAAATAAAATAAATTAGTTTATTTTCTTTTCAATAAATCTTTGATAAACATCCTTTGTTTTTTAATGATAATTTCGTTTACACATATCTAACATATTCATTCAATATTTTCTATATACATAAACAATAATATAATTTTTCTTTAGAATTACCTCAATACATTGCTATATTTCCATATGAAGCTCAACAAGATGATGAAATAAGTTTTCCAGCTGATGCTATTTTAGAAATATTACATGAAGCAAATACTAGTGGATGGTTTAAAGCTCGTTTTGGTGATCAAGTTGGTTTAATTCCATCGACTTATGTACAACCAATTGATGCACATAATCAATGTAAGTAGAATTAAAAATAATATACTTATCTTTTATTAAATTTAATATAAAACATTTTGAGAACAAATAAAATGAATGTGCAGAATGTGATTTGATTCGTAATTTTTAGCGATGTATGTGGATTATTTTTTTGGATAATAGATGGAATTAAAAGAAAAAAGAAACAGTTTTTCTATATATGTATAAGGTGGTCAATGAGTAGCTTTACAGTGAAAAAAAAATTTGAATATCTCCACTCTGTTCTACTCTATTAGGCTAGTCTTTGTTTTTGCATAATAGAGAAAACTTCAGAGTTTTTTTTCCATAAGACCTTTATGACCTTACAGATTATAACGTGAATCTAAAAGTTCGAAATCACTAAAAGAAAATAGAAATTCATTATTGAAGCCAATGATGATATGCTAAAGCAATTGTTCTTGTCGAAAAAGAAAACTCTGAACTCTCCTCTATCACTGAAAAAAAAATTAGTCTTTTAGAGTGGAACATACAATCGACATATTGACATTTTTTACTATAAGGTTACTTATAGATCACTCTATATATATTTCCAAATTTTATACATTTTTCTAGAACAATGATGATCATCATATCAAACCATCATCTCACATGAAGTTCAATCAGAAAGATGATGATGATGGTGCCCAAATACAGATGTATATCTAAATATATATATATAAGCGAGCACAAACAATTATCATTTTTTAATTCGATCCTTATTTCCCACCCTCTTTTTTTCTCATTGAATGCATCACATTGTGTGTTGCTAGTCATCATTATATTTTATTAAATACAATCACAGACATTGTTTTTTTTAAAGCAATCCACATACATTCGCATTTTATTCTATTTAATTTTCTTCTGTGGTTTTTTTTTCTATATGTATTGGTCTGATTGTTATCGTTCATGTAAAAGTCATATCACTTATATATCCATTTTTATATTCTCTATAATTTTCTTTTTTCTCATCGACAAAAAAAAAATTTTAAAAAAAAAGGTGTAATGTGTACTTTATGCAGTAGTCGTTTGTATGTGTCAATGAATTCATAGTCATTTCTTTTTTTGTGTTGGTTTTTTCCTATCGTTATGTTTAATTTGTCAAAACTTTGGTGATAGTGATGATTCAAATTTCTCGTTATATATGTTTTACCAGTCACTAGTATTTTTCTATGCTTTCACATCAGCGTGATTTGGTTATATATTCATTGTCTTATATTTATTCTTCTCTATAGTCATATTCTTCTGTGTTGCCTACTGTTAGTTTGCTCTCTCACATATCTTTTAAAAAAAAAAAGAAATATATATAATTAGTTACATATACTTGAATGAAAATTAGAAAACAAAATCAACAAAAGTTCTTTTCATTTATTTCTTATTTGAACAGAAGAAAATAATGTTCGAAAAAATGCTATCTTTTGTTTGCTGTTGCTTTCCAATACTAACATCAGCTACAGCACCATTACCAACATCCTCTACCAAACATAAACGTCATACAGAGTATAAACCAAAAACAGCTTTTATGATATCTTGTTGTAAGTCAAGAATGAGTAACACAAAAAAAAAACAAAAGAATTAAAAAACTCACCGAAGTTAAAATTATTTTGGCTGCATGAAGATAAAATATATATATATGACAAACTTGTAAATATTCTTTGACATATCTATTATTCTTTGTTGTTTTCTTGTCTTGTAAAAAGAAAAATTGTAATGCATGATAATAAGCATGGCTTCTTGTCTCCTGTTTATTATTTTTCTAAGAAATTGAAAACAAAAAATACTATATTGAATAATTTTTTTCCAGCTTCATCTATTCCATGTCAGCTTTCTTCAAATATAATTCCATGTACACCGACAACAGCTAATTCATTATCTCAACATCCATTTTCTGATGATTCAACAATGACATTAACTGCTGATTCATCAACATTAATAACTGATATATCATCTCATCAAACATTAAATAATACATCACGTATATCAGCTATACGAGAATTAATTGAAACTGAACAACGTTATGTTAATGATTTACGTATTGTTGCTAATGATTTTATTAAACCATTAAGTAATGGTCGAATTTTAAATGATTATGAAATTGAACAATTATTTAGTAATTGGTTTAGTTTAATTGCATGTAATACTGTTTTTCTATCGACATTACAAGAACAAGTACAATACAAAGAACATGTAATCACATCAGATATAGATATATCTATGCGAACACTTCCTCGTTCAGCATCTATGTCTCATATGACAACGGTTGCACAGGTTATTATTAAGACTTTAGTATAGTTAATATATATATATATATATATATATTATTTTCCTTTCATTGATTTTCAGGTACCAATTAACTATATTGTTGACAAACGCTCTCGGTCATTCATTCATCAAATGTGTGATTCACCTCCTATTCATCAATCACAATATCATACTGAGACTGAACGTATTCATCGTTCTCCATCTGCTAATAATTTAACAGTTATATGTCCAATAAGTATTAAACGTTCAGATGATAATATTGTTCCTCAATCATCTCATTTATCATCAACTATGACAATAAATGAATCAACACGAATAGGTGAAATTCTTTGTTCATATTTACCATATATGGCTGATACTTATTTTCAATATTGTAATTGTCGTTCACAAGCTGATAAATATTTACAATCTAAAATTGATTTAAATGAACAATTTCGTTCATATTTACAAATTTTTCAAAATAAAACTGGTGGTTTATCATTAAATGGTTTTTTAACAAAACCAATACAACGTGTTACACGTTATCCATTATTAATTGAAAAAATTCTTAAATATACAATAATAAATCATCCTGATTATCAATATATACAACAAGCATATGAATGTGCACGTCAATTAAATGAACGAATTAATAAACAAATATGTATACAAGAAAATTGTTTACGTTTAGATTGGTTACAACAACATATTATATTAAGTACAGATGAAAATTCTACAGATGGATATTTATTTGATGAATTATTAAAATTTAATTCAATAACAAAACTTCATAAACAACGACAATTACTTTTACATGGGTTTTTAATGAAGGTTAGGCAGAGAATAATAAAGATCTCTTGTACATTCAAAACGTCAATTAACTTTGTTGTATGGTCATATAATTTGATAGAAAAAAAAATCCAGACCACTTTAGGTGGTTACATTGCTGAGTTATAAGCATTCTTCTGAGATGTCCGAAATCGATCAAGTAACTACTAGTCAGTCTATTTGAAATGAGCTGATACCGAAAATTTTGATCATGTTGAAACAAGTAATGGTGTTTTTTTTCTGTTTTGAAGTTGTACGAGATACTTAAATCGATATTATAAAAACCCATTGTTTTCGGGTAATTAATTCTTAATTAAAACTGACGATTTTGAAATTTTAGTCTGATGTTTTTCATGTTACTTTAAAAAGAAACCAAACACTACCACTTATTTCAGCATGATTAAAACTTTCTGTATTAACTAATTTCAAACTCACTAGTGGTCAATTGACCGATTTTCGATGAAAGTCTTAGTAGAATACTTATAACTTAGCGACGAAATTGCCTAGAGAGGTCTTGCTTTTTTCTATCAAATGACTAATCTTAAAAGTCAACATATAATAGGAAAATTTCCAAGATCATTGTTTCCAAAATACTCACTAATAACTGATCAATATTGGCCATATAATAAAGACCATTAACTTTTTGAATGGATAATAGTTTAATTTTTAAGTTATTATTTTTCTTGTTTAGGTATCGAGTGGAAAAGATTTATTAGCATTTTTATTTAATGATTTTCTTTTATTTTCAACTATAAAAACATCATCAAACAATTGGCAATCACAATTATTTGAACCAAAATCAAATTTACAATTAAAACTATATCGATTAGTAAATAAATTCATTGAAAATTTTTGTTGTTTTATTCAATTTGTTCTTTATTTTTTTTAGCCATTATTATTAACTGATATTATTGTTGCTAATGAAATACTTCATGATCAATTAAGTTTTTATATTAGAACGAAAATTTATGAAAAACCATTAGTTTTAAAAACACAACAAACGAATATTCGGTATAATAACAAAAGCAAAAAATAAAACAATTGAATGTAGAGATCATTTATTTTTTGTAGTACATTATGGGTACGAGCGATAAACAATGCTTTAGAAGAATCTCAAATAGCAGAAAAATTAATTCTAGCCGATAAAACATTGTTTTCTACTACAGGTAAAATGAATTTATAATTTAGAGATGATTTAAATGACACCTTCAACTATTGTTTTCTTTTAATTTTTAAAGATCAGAAAGATAATTCAAAATCTGCTATTGCACATCTTATGCTCGTTGTACTAGAAGCTCGTGATTTAATACCATCAATAACAACACTTGAACGACATCGTAAGTATTATTCCTCGTCATTATAAAAAATAGTATTCGATTGTCATACCTTTAAATATGTCTTTTTTCCGCTAGGTACTTTGAATCCCTATTGTGAAATAACTGTAGATTCATTAACATTAAAAACTACATTTATGAAACGAACAAATAATCCAAAATGGAATGCATCTATGCAATTCTTCTTGTATGATATGGCTGAAGATATTATTCATATTAATATATTTGATAATGAATTTTTTTCACCTAATGGTTTGTTCGATATGTTATTGTTTCTTTTTTTCAAGAGAAAAAAACATTTCTTTTGTTTTAGAAAATATTGGTCATGCATCAATACATGTAAAAGATATTTTACCATGTTCACTTGATTCATTTCTTACTCAACCATCACAATCATTTACACAAACAATCTATCTAAACACTGGAGCATCGGTAGTCATGAACTGTACGATACAATATTTATTATAATATGAACACAAAATCACCCGTGTCACTTTTTTTTTGTTATTTTTTATTTATTTCTATTTTTTTCCGGTTTTCT